GTAATTTGTCCAATTACAAGTACCAGTGTACCACTGTCCTTTTTCTTTGCAAATTTCACCGTAAAATAATACTACCCCTAATTTTTAATATTGAAAATTGCTATTTTCACTCGGTTTTGAAGTCTTGTTAAGTTTTTCACACCGTTCAATAAAAAACTAAATTTTTCATCCCAAAAAGTGTGAAAGACATTGTGCGATGAATATGCGACAACTGCGCGATGACATTATGCGAAAGTTAAAAGTGTGACAGCATCGCATATCCCTTTACACTTTATGGGGTGAAAAAAAATTAAAGTGCGAAGGCATTGTGCGATGAATATGCAACAGTTATGCAATTGATATGCAACAGTTATGCGATAGTTTTCGTATAATCTTTGCATATGTGACAGTTATGCGATGAATATACGCATAACTTTCGCACTTGCCGGAGTGAAAAACTTAGCTTTTTATTGGGCAGTGTGAAAAACTTAATGTGTCTTTGTATTGGGATGAAAAATATTTTTTTCCTTTTTAATATATGTCGTTTTGAAAAGTTGCACATGAATTAAAAGTATTTTTGTTCTCAATAATAAACTTATTTAATGAAGATAGAGATGAATGTTTTGAGAAAAATGTGAAGAGTGAATATGAAAAGACGTAATGTATTTATTAGCTAAATGAGAGTAATAATGAAAAATATGTAAAAAAAATCTAAAACGATATTTATTTGGTTAATAGTTGTTAAAGCCAAAATGACATTTAAAAAAAAAAATAAGAGGGAGTAAATTTTTATTTGGGCCAATGGAGTATTTTATAATTGCAGGGTTATGATATGGATGGCTTAGAGCATCCACAATGCTTTGGGTCTCTTTTTGCATATGTGGCAAAAAAATAGACTTAAGTCCATAATGACATGGACGAACCCAAGCTAAAAAATCTAAAATCTATCCAATGCAAAACAAAAAAGTACTAGGTCTAGAATACTAAACAACCAATAAAAATAGAGTAATAATAAATGCATACAAAAAAAAAATGTGTTTTGCCTATTAAAAAGAAAAAGAAAATTGTGAACAATTAATGACTAGGTGGGTTTGCACTTGGGTCCAAAATAGACCCAAGTTTTTTGGACCCAAGTGTGGACTTAGTCTCTTTTTTCTAGTGTCACATAAGTTAGACTAGGTCCATTTTTAATTGCATTGTGAAATATTTTTTCATAGACTAGGTCTATTTCTTACATGACATGTAATTTTTTTCTAAGAGACCTAAAGCATTGTGAGTGCTCTTAGAGCCGTCAACATTAACTATTGATCAGGGTGTTGAGAAGTCGAGTATTTTATTCTTTTATTAAAAAAAAATTATTATTATGTGCCTCCGTATTTATGGGCTTTGGGCCAAGGTCAAACACGGTTTTTTTTCCCAAAATGATAAAAATTTTATAAAAAATAAAATCACATAATTACAGCTAGTAAACAGCTAGAATCGCCAAGCAGCAAATAGCGAATGTTAGATCCTTAATCCAATATTGGGCTAATATGTGAAATAATTATTGTATTGTGGTTGTCAAATAAAGAAGCTCAAATAAAAGTGATCAATTAAGTTTTAAAGTTATTGGGGTTTAAAGTATCAATAGGGGGCCTTTAATGTGTAGAAACTAATGGGTCTTCTATTTTAATGATGGACTAAAATAGAGATGTCCAATGTAACTTAATGTACATAAAAGGGTTGTAGTCCCTAGGTTATACGACATCGACAGATTATCTCTTCTGCATCCTATCGACAGAGAGGTTATGGAGAAAAACTAAAGGGTTCTCTGAAAGGTACACGATCGTATAGACCTAGAAGGTCAAATCCCCAAATCAATCACTTATGCATTCAGGTACGCTTCCGCTATTCAGTCTCGATTCTCAATTATTCGATATAAAAGCTCCTGGATTAAAGCGATGTATTTAGCCTATAGTTAATTCTAACAAGTGGTATCAGAGCCTTTTCATATTAAATTTTGGGGAATCAATTTATTTTGATTCGTATGGCTGCGTGATTGTTTTTTTTTCGGATATATATGTTTCGGTAACTGGGGTCATGTTCCGCAAATTGTATGAATATGAGTTAATTGCATATTGATTAATTGACGTGAGTGGATTTGATTTATTTTTAAATGTGAATTGGAAACGGATTCAGTGGTCTTCATTAGCTGAATTGGTTTAATTCATGATGAATCCATCAGTGCGTTTGCGTTTGAGTGGTGTTTGGATTTAGTGCATTGATCTCATTTACATCAGGAATTGGGTCTTACTGATTCAACATGTTACTTTGGAATTGAGTTGTGAATAATATGGTTTTGGAACATGAATTATTTATTTTCATGTTGTGGTCTTTGAGCATGTTAATATTTGCCTGGATCTAAGTTTTTTACAAATTAAAAATTAAGCTCTTAAATCTATTTTTTGGGTCTTAGAATTTTAAATTTTGGATTCGAATATCTATTAATATATAATAAGGATTAACTTAATTCACTTTTAATAATATTTTCCCGCCAAATTCATTAATTATTGTCTAAAATTAGTAACTTAACAAACTTTTATTAATTACATATTGTAATATGGAATAGATGTTTTTTCCGATTAAAATCTCTATAAATATGGAATAGATGTAATTTCCGATTAGAATCTCTATAAATATTTACTAAACAAACTTTCTGTTATATATAATAGATGTTTTTTTTCCGATTAGAATCTCTACAATATGGAATTTAGAATCTATTCTGTAAAAAAATAATTAAATCTATACTTATATAAAAAGCTATCTTATTTACTATAATTTGTAATAAGAAAAGTCAAAGGTAATTAATGTATTATATTTTTATTAAGTATTTTATTTAATTATTTATTTAATTTTTTTATCCCATAACACCTTTTCAATACAACTTACCATGATTTTTCTATTGTGATTAAAAATCAGATTTTACGTCTAAAATCTTGTGAAATTATTATTATTATTTTTTTAAAACACATATTATTTATTAAAAAATTGTATATATATCTAAATATATATATACATTATACACATCACAGTACCATGATAGATGATTGAACATGATTTAAATTTCAATCGAACAAAATGCCAATGATATAAATTTGAATACACCTATGTGTTTGACCAAATGTCTGGATGATTTAAAATTGAGCCCATCAAAAACTATTTAAATTTGAACACACTAGAAATTTTATGTACTTTTTTATTATAAATGTATTAAAAGTGGTACTTAATGGTTGTTATATAAATTATTTTAATATATTTGTAATGAATAAAAGTTTGAATGAATAATTATAATGTTATTCATTATGTTTGCGACTTACGATACATGAACACATAACCACATACATATTTGCCAGAAGGCAGCTTAATAATTTTCATAGATTGTTCAAAACTGTAATGAATTAACAAATCGTGAATAAAAAAAATCATGAAAATGTTTCGTACACTGATAAAACGTTACAAACTGATAAAGACTAAAAAATAATATGAAAAACTTTTATGTTTGTTTAGATAAACAACATTGATCCAACAAGTTCATCTTTTCTGCTTGGTCAAAATAATAATCAAACTTTATAAATCAATAAGCAAATATTTGGTCAAATTAATAATCAAACTTTATAAATCATTAGCAAATGAAAATCAATTTTAATTGAATGTACAGTATGTTGTAAATCAATTCACACGGTAAAATTTGTGATAATTAAAAGTAACAAAAAAAAAATCAAAAAGTTTAGATCACATGTGACATGTATCTCGCTCCGAGGAAACCTTTATCATAATTATAGCAGAATGATGGCTGCATCTAAATTTTTAATCTAATAAATGTGTAGTAAAATATGATGGATAAAGACCTCATCATAACGAGAAAACCTTATCTTATAGCAGAATATTGGCTGCATCTAATAGTTTTTTTTATTTGTCAGCATTCTAGTTATACTAAGTAAATAATTATATCATTAAGAATATATTATTGTTATATTATCAAATCATAAAAAGATATTAAATCTACATTGTAAAAGAAATCATATAATTTTATAAAAATTTTATGCACTATTTAATAGTATTCTTTTTTATTATATAATATACAAAATAGTAATTAAATATTATATGGTGAATAAAATAAATAAAATGTTACTTTCTCTTATATCAATGGATAACTTTATATGCTAAAATTAAATTTTTATTAGTATAAATATTTTAGTGAGATAATATATTAAATATTTTACAAGCTAGCCCTAAC